TTTTGGTGAAATTTAACCTTTTATTTTCACCGAGTTCAGCCAAAGATTGAACGTTATATGGTCGTAAGTAAAAAGGATTGTTGTATTTGCGTACACTTTCTTTCAGTTCTTCCATTCTATGCTGAATATTTTCATCTGATGTTGGAGTCTTTTGTATGTCGGCGAACATTTTTCGATATTCTTCTACTATGTCAGCCGAATTTTTCTTAGACTCTTGGAAAGATTCCATATTCTCCTCATACTCTTGTTGAGGGTCAAGATTTTTCGGCTGTTCCAAATCTTCATCTAGTTCTGTGAAGTTAGTTTCCAAAGGAGGGACTTGTTTGTTTCCTTCAGGCTCTTCTAGCTGTTGTTGCTGAACTATTTCTTCCATGTCTGGTTGTATCTGAACTTCTTCCTGTGGAGTTTCTTGTACCTCATCTGCTGGCATTTCATATATTCCGAGACCGTTTTTAACAAGTTCCCTATCTAAGTCATCCGGACTCATAAACCTTTCTTCTTTCGTTCCGTCTTTATTTTTTACGCGTTTCATGAAGAGAGTTGAATTATCATTTAGCTCTGACACCAAATATCTCGGAGTAAATTCAGTCATGTCATTTGGATGATATGCTATTAAATCATATCCCTTAGCGAGCTTGTATTTTCCAGGTTTGAAATTATATCCCATTTGGTGCTGAACCATAAAGCTAAATAGGTTCGGGTCAGTATTTCCTTCCTTGAACTTTCTAATAGCTTCTTTATATCTGTCACTAAAGTCAAGAGTATCTGGGTAACCATAATTTTCCTTAAGCATTTTTAAGAATTCTTGGTTTCCTTGTTCTCTACTTCTTTTATGTCCTTGCTCTGTTTGTGGTTGTTGCTGTGCAGTGTTTTGAACTGTTGGTTGTGGTGCAGTGTTTTGAACTGTTGGTTGTGGTGCAGTGTTTTGAACTGTTGGTTGTGGTGCAGTGTTTTGAACTGTTGGTTGTGGTGCTGGATTTTGAACTGTTGGTTGTTGTGTTGGTTTTGGTGCATGCCTGTGTCTGTGTCCATGTGACGATATAAATGTTTTAGGTAGTCCTGGTGCAGGTGCTTCTCTTGGAGGGTTTGGTGGTATATAAGTTCCACCAGCTGGCACATATGTTCCATCTGCAGCATAATGTCCTACCTGACTTTTCGTTTTTAAGAAAGCATTTACTAGGTCTGTTTTGGTCTGTTGTAACTCTTTTTCTTGACTTTCCACAACAGTTGCTCTAACGGCGTCATAGGCACTTTGAACTGCCTGTCTCGTTGCTGCATCTGTTATTTTCGTCATATTTTGTGCTACTTCTCTTAACTCTTTGTCGAAACCTTCAGACTTCAGTTTCTTTCCAGATGAGAAGTCGTTCACTAGTTTCACCTTACTATGAAGAGCTTCGAAGGCGTTCTTAAAGTCAGCATTTGTTAAAGCTTCATTTGAACTGTCTTCATCCGCTTGTATTTTTGTCCTTATTGACCCTATAAGTTGGGCTGCTTTAGCGTTGGCTTGGGCATCTAACCAGTCATTATTAGCTTTTATATATTCTGCGCTTTTCATTGCCTTTTGCATGGCTGCGTCGTTATTTTTACTTTCTTGTGCTAAGTTTTCATACTGTACGGTTTGGTTTTGCAACTGTAAAAGTTTTTCTGCCTTTACATTTGCTTCAACTTCTTTTTTATACTCATCGCTATCCATATATGTCTTCAGGGCTTTTTGTTTTATTTCTTCATCTTTCAGTACTTTATATTGAGTAGTATGGTTTTTCAAATTTATAACATCTTGTTCCATTTTTGCTACTTCTGCTGCTTTTTCTGACACTTTTTTCGCATATTCCTCTGTACTTAGTTCTTTCAGTTGTTCTTCTTTCTTCTTTTTCTCTACGTTTAACTCATTGAGTTTCTTTGTGTGTCTGTCATATTCTAGTTTCTTTTCGTTTTCACTTATTTGTTTCTGTATGTCTATGTTTGACTTTTTGACATCTGTTATTTGATTTTTGAGTGAACTCAAATTCATTTGACTTTGAGGGTTATAAGCTGTTCCGTCTGCAGCTCCACCATAGCCTGCCATTTCGCTAAAAGTGCCGCTCTTAAACCTCCACTCTGTGCCACCAATAACTCGTTTAAAAGCATAGGGTTGCTTGACATTTTGTTGCAACATAGTGGGTCATTCATCATTTGTTGTTGCAAACTGTTTTGTGGTGTCAGTTTTACTATTGATGTTTCAATGCTCTCTTCCTCTTACGTATATTCTTACGTAGCTTACGTGGCATTTTAAGTGAAGTTAAAAAGCGGTTTTTGACAGATGTTTATATGACACTATTTGTTCAGCACAAAAAACTACTCGTGTCAAAGTTTGTCAGTTTGTAAAATAACCGTCCTATCTCATTCTATAAGGGGAAAAAGGCTTCTCAAAGTTTACTTCCGTGGAACGCCTGTAACTTTTCCTGTAGCGACGATAGACCCTTACTTGTCCGGACAAAGTTATACTAAACATCTTCAGGGCTAGAGGGCACGAAGTGCCTGGAGGCCCCACTACCTTTTTTTTTTTTTTGAAAATAATATGAGTTTATGTGATATTATTTTTCAGAAGATTTTGTGTTCTTCTTCAAAATTTTATTTTTTATTAAAAAGAATCTTTACAAAATATACATTTACTTTAATTAATATTTAAAAACGTGCTCTATCAAAAGTTCCAAAAATTCAATATTTTAGCTTTTCTGAGGTGTCACTTTTGATGAATTTCTGTTTACAACATATGTAAAGCTATAAATTGAATAAATTCAAAAACAAAAATTGTTTATTCTTATTAATAAATTTATATTAATCAATATTTGAACAACCCGTAATTAAAATTGAATTCCTCTTAAAATTTAATCCATACGTTAATTTTTAATTTGCACGGCGAATGCCGAGCTTCCCTACTTCTCTTGTCATTCCTTCAAAAACTCTAATCTCATCGCACTTACAAACATCATGATTTGATGTATTGTCGAGAAATCTTAGACTTGTTTGTCATTTGATGATAGCATTTGAAAGTCATCTCGAAAATCGATTAACAAGACAATTTCCCAAACATCTACATACAAGTAGATGATGGTAAACCTATTAGAGTTGTTTTGCTATGATTCCTCCATATCAAAACAGCTCTAATCGAACATTCTACACAGCTTAGCATCCAGCTAGTTCCAAGTAATGCGATTACAACATCAACGGCCAAAGCCTTTCAGAGTCCTTTAATCATTTCTTCTCATCTCAATGTGAAGTGGCCCCAAACGGACTACAAGCTGACGTTACAACGCATTACAACCCGGTTATTACGAGCATATACATTAGAGCTGCTTTGTTATGATCTCCCTCATCAATTGATGAGAGATCTCATTATGAAGCAGCTCCAATCGAACTAAAAACCTACATACAAATGAGTGAAAACAAATTCATTAGAGTTGTTTTGCTTTGATTTCTCTCATCAGAAGATGAGAGATACCAGAACAAAACAACTCTAATCAAACTTTCTACACAACTCAGCACAGTATCAATGCAAAGTAATGCGTCTGTATCGTTAACAAGCAAAGTTGTTTCGGGTCCTTTCATTTTGGAAGAATTCGGAACAACTTTGCGAATTGATAGTGTAAACCCATATACATGAAAGCGTGCATGCATAAAGACAGGTATTGTCAGCAATGACTACCTGCCCAGCTATGAGTGATCAGAGAATTACCATCTCAGGCTTTTTGAGAACGTTTCAGCCAGGACCCTCGTATGTTGACTGTGAGAAAGGCATCCTTTATCTGAAATAGATGCTTTTCCAACAATCAAATTCGAAGATCTTCGACGTTGTTGTAAAAAGAGAAGGAGAAGGAAAGAAGAGGAAGGAGAGGAAGAAGGAAAGGAAAAGAAGAAGAAGAAAAAAGAAAAAAAAGACATATTAAATATAATGCGCACTTAATAGTGCCGAGGCGGCGGAGCCGCCGAGGCGCGATTTTTTTGACCCTATATTACCGCACGGCAATGTTTTTCTCGATTTTGTACAGCCCTATATATAATGAACTAGAGTCAATTTATGGTACGAAAAGATGTTGATTACTAAAACAGGAAAAAAAAGCATATCATGTTTCTAATTGTCCGAATAAATTAATAAGGTTTTACGATCTATAGTGTGAATGCACTTACTACGATTCTGTGGTCCACAAAATCAACTTGGTTATAATATAATTTCTAACCTCAGGTGGCTACGCTTGCCCTTCGGGCATGCATGCCACCTTCGGTAAAATAAACATATATCGATTATAGGAAAAACGTTTATTCATATATTTCATTTTAGATCTTTCATCCGAACCTCTCAAATTTGGCAATGTTTCGCCCAAAAGCCCTCATAATTTGTGAGAATTGAGAGCTCTATCGATCTTTCGCACATTTTTTGCCCGAATATTAACATGTTAATGACCAAAAAAAATTGGATGCTAATTTACTGTAAATTCATAATGTAAAAAGTATGGGCGTTGTCCCCTATATCAAGTTTCCTCACAAGCAGTCCAGCATTTCAATGTGATTTATGAGATTATTACATATATCGTGAACATGATATACCATAGAATATGGAATAAAATCAACTGCTTAGAATCGAATTTGGAACATGATTTATTTTTGAAATTATTTGATCATTAATTTTTCGGCGATTTAAATGGATCAATCCACAGTACAACATAACTGAAATTGATATATGATAAAAGTTTAAAAACGATTAAAAATTGAATTGTGGAAAAAATTTTGAATTGTGGAAAAAAAATTTTGAATTGTGTATAAAATGAGGTTAGTAGCAATTGCTAGTTTTTTTTTCATTATGAGTTCTGACTATTCAAAACAATATGCGGATTTTATAGGGGCGCTTGAAAAGCTCTTTCACATAAAATCTAATGAACCTATCGAAGATATGTGCAGTATAATTACAAATACTTTGATTTCGAAGTATCAACTTTCAATCAATCAACTTACAAAGTTAATTCATGAGTAGATACAATTATGCATCTGGGGCGAATTACGTCAAAATACTCGAACAGATCGGGGCTGACCTCACCGGAGTATCGGATTACCATTTTGAAACGGAGAGTTCGATTGAATTTATAGTTATGCATGATCAAATTGATAAGTTCAAGGAATACTTAACTCAAAATTCAATATCTGGTGATATTTTTCTCGAAATTCCTAATTTCTGGTACAATGCTTATCACGATGATGGATATTATGCAGAGTTATCACTAATTGAAGCATGTGCCTACTTTGGATCTGTTAATATTTTTTATTTCTTGATTTCGAATCAAATCAGTAAAATAACTGAATGGTGTCTTAGCTACTCAGTAATTGGAGGAAATCAAGACATCATCAACGAATGCTTGAAAGAAAATAAAATGGATATTGATTGTCTCAGAAGCATTATAAGATCACACAATCACGAATTACTTGAATATGTTTTAGATAGAGAGATTTTCGAGCTTGATGATTTATACGGTGAGGATTGGAAATCGGGAAAAGAAAATAATTGTATGGGAGATGCAAATTATAGACCTATTTATAAAGATATCATCAGATTTCAAAACCTTAATGCTGTATTTCTTCTATTCAAAAGGAATAAATATTACATCTTTCCATGGGGTGCTGCATTTCCGCAAACAATAGATATTTTCAAAAACAATACATTTTCTAACAAACATAATCGCACTAAATGTGGAATTATTTATTTTGCATGTAGATCGAAAAATTCTGATATTTGCAGATTATTACTTGAGTCATACAATCAAATTATAGTCAACAATAAACAGGGTATAGATATCAATGAAAAAGATGATGATGGAGAAACCGCTCTTCATTTTGCAGCATTAAATAATAATAGAGAAATAGCCGAACTTCTTATTTCACATGGTATAAATATCAATGAAAAAGATAATAATGGACAAAATGCACTTCATATTGCAGCATTAAATAATAGTAAAAAAACAGCCAAACTTCTTATTTCACATGGTATAAATATCAATGAAAAAGATGATGGAAAAACCGCTCTTCATTATTCAGCATTAAATAATAGTAAAGAAACAGCCGAACTCCTTATTTCACATGGTATAAATATCAATGAAAAAGATAATAATGGGAAAACTGCACTTCATTATTCAATGGAAAATAATTGTAAAGAAATAACACAACTTCTTATTGCACATGGTGCAAACATCAATGAAATAAGAAAATTCTATTAAATAATCAACATCTGATTATTGACTTTGTTCCTCATCTGAAATATATGTTGATATAAGGTACTCCAAATTAGGAACAAAGGCTATAATGAAATATTTAAAACAATCTTTTGATTATTTGGCTGATAATATACATTTCATTTTTAATTTTCCTTATTGATATTTTGTACCTATCCTCGAATCAACTTCAAAATTTATGGTGTTCGGATTATTATAACATCATTTTATAATAAAAGATTTTCATTCTAATACAAAGATAATTTTTTCACATTTTTATTTTATTTTTCTCTAACTTTGAGTCTATATTAAAAAGTGACTTTTTTGGTAAACTAATTAGAGCACTTTTTCGTAAACTACTGAGCCAGTGATATTCGAAATTAATTTCAACAGTTGTAATAGTGCAGCTATAAAATATAGTATATACAGATGCATCTATATGAATCTGAAGCTTTTTTCTTAATTTTACTTAAAGAAATTGTATCATAAACTTTTGAAAACAAAACATTAAGGCCGCACTTACGCCCATCTGACTTTAATTCAAATTTTTGACAACTGGCGTGAAGCACCATTGAAAATTAACCTTAAACATCTGAATTGAATGTCCTGTCATAGGGGCGTAAGTGCACCCTTAATTCTTTCCCACATTTCAATTTTTTTTTCAACAATTTGAAAAATTCAGGATATAATTTTCATTTCTTAAATGAATGATGCTATTTTTAAAAAAAAATCAATAGCCTATTTTCGATAAGAATACCCTACTTTCCCAACATTTAGAATAAGGTTATTGCCCTAAAATTCAGTTATAGACACTTAGGAGAGCATTTAAGCCATGATATTTTGGCATATGATAGAGAAACATCTTATAAACATTTTCAGTATGTTTTCCTATAAAATAACGATCTCACATGAAATTACTAAAATATCAAATTTTGATTTTCACTTTAAAGTTGGGAGAATACTCTACAGTGACAGGGTATACAATTTTAACCTTTGTTTTGATTATAAATAAAGTATTGATAGAGATATGAGTTGTACAGAATTATACACGTGTGTTTAATCAAATGTAAGTTGTGCAACAATAATGATTAGCTAGATAGTATATTAAGGAACTGTGATTTATGATCTAATTCAATAAGATGTAAATGATATTCAAATATATTAAATAAATGCGAATGTTCAAGATGTGAAATCAGTTAGTTAATTGTTGTATATAGATATTTTACTGTGATTAATGAATTTTTTAACAATTTAAAATTATCAAATTTCAAAATATGCGCAATGAGATAATTTGAGAGTATTTTGAGAACTGAAGACTTATGATTTAGTGTTTTTGAATAAGCACATCAATATAAAGATAGAAAATAAATTGAGATATAATTTTTTTGAAGGTATTATAAGGGTGGAGGTAGTAGGATAAATTTTTAATGTTCTATACTTTCATGGCAAATAATTAAATAGAAGTAAAACTTTGTTTTAAGAATTGAAAATTTTAAATAAAAAAGGAATGTTAGTAATGCTAATTTATTTGATTCCGGGGGACACCCCGGTTATCAAATATATTTATTAAAATGGAAAATCTCTCACTTTTCGAAAAAATCGAAACTGCAAGGATCTCCGATTCTCGATATGATAATTTATTTGATTCCGGGGGACACCCCGGTTATCAAATATATTTATTAGAACGGAAAATCTCTCACTTTTCGAAAAAATCGAAACTGCAAGGATCTCCGATTCTCGATATGATAATTTATTTGATTCCGGGGGACACCCCGGTTATCAAATATATTTATTAGAACGGAAAATCTCTCACTTTTCGAAAAAATCGAAACTGCAAGGATCTCCGATTCTCGATATGATAATTTATTTGATTCCGGGGGACGCCCCGGTTATCAAATATATTTATTAGAACGGAAAATCTCTCACTTTTCGAAATTTTTTTTAACAAAAATATGGCATTCTTAAATTATAGTTACATGTTATTTCACAATCATTATCATTAAAAAATTCAATTATTCAAGTTGTTTTGTCCCGACGGTTTTTACGGTTATAAAAATGGTTGCGAACTCAATCCATCAGCAAAATGTCGGTTGGGGTGCCCTTCTTGGCCTCCTGAGTACTCACCAAGATACCCCCAGCTCCCGCAAAACACCTCCCTTAGGTGAGCATTAACTGATGACATGAGTTAACAATTCTACAAAATCATCAAGCATGAAGGTTTATGATTTATAAATCAAAATCTCAGAAACTGCTTGACTTTGCAAGTTGCTGTCTTTACCGGTTACTCTGCTGCAATCTCTTTTCTGATTGCAGGCAGAGTTCTGCATCCTGAGGACTTTGCCTTGCAGATATGCTTGTAATCACTACGTGAGCAACTTGGTGTTGCAAGTTGCTGTCTTTACCGGTTAGCTTTTTTGAAGTTTCTTCGCATCTTATATAAGCTCTAGATCAATATTTATCATCAGAATTTGCATCTCATAAAGCACAATATTAATCAAATAGGCAAATTTCATTCGGAGTCTCTCATTAAATGAGAAACTCCGAATGAGATTTGCTCTAAGGTAATGTACTTGTTATGCTTGGCCTAGAAGCAAGGAGGAAACATGTATATGGTTTGTTTATACTGAAGTTATCTGGAATTCTCTCAATTGAGGATTCAAATCCAGATAACAGCAGTATAAGTTAATATTGTTGTGCACCTCAGGTTGTTTATAGGCCCGAGAACGAGAAAAGAATTTATGGTGTGAATTGGCTCGATATATACCTACGCTCTGTAAAAAATACGTTATATTTTCTTTCATATGAGAAAAATGTTTTTCTTTTTTATAATACTATGTGCTTTGTTACTTCATAAATTGTCTATTTTTCTTATTAAAACCTATTTTTTCCGTGTGATTCGGAATCTACGCATTCAAAATGCGTTTTCCGCTCTCAGAACGCGAAAATATGAACTACATGACGAGATAAATCGATTTATTATGTTCCTAAATATTCTCATTTTTCAATCTTGCTCAATACTCAAAAATAAGCAGACTCTCAAATAGAGAACATAAAATAACTCATATTTATCATATTAAAATTTTGAAAAAGTCTCCCGAAAAAATCATATTTCGAAAATTTCAAAAAAATAAGTACATTTTTCGCCAAAGAAAAAAGAAAAATGTTTTTTTTTGAATTTTTGATGATAATATGCACTCCTGACGGTCGCAGTGTCTCATTCCGGGAGACATTGCCTGTGCATGTCTCCCAGAATGGCATACTGTTCCGCATTCATAACTTGAATGCGGAACTTTGACCGACAAGAGTGCATTGTGCACTCTTGTTGGTCTGCATGTGTCATTCCGGGAGACATTGCCTGTGCATGTCTCCCAGAACGAGACAATTTATTGCAATCAGAATACGATTGCAAAACTTTGACCGACAAGAGTGTATTGTGCACTCTTGTTGGTCTGCATGTGTCATTTCGGGAGACATTGCCTGTGCATGTCTCCCAGAATGGCATACTGTTCCGCATTCATAACTTGAATGCGGAACTTTGACCGACAAGAGTGCATTGTGCACTCTTGTTGGTCTGCATGTGTCATTCCGGGAGACATTGCCTGTGCATGTCTCCCAGAATGGCATACTGTTCCGCATTCATAACTTGAATGCGGAACTTTGACCGACAAGAGTGCATTGTGCACTCTTGTTGGTCTGCATGTGTCATTCCGGGAGACATTGCCTGTGCATGTCTCCCAGAACGAGACAATTTATTGCAATCAGAATACGATTGCAAAACTTTGTCCGACAAGAGTGCATTGTGCACTCTTGTTTGTCATCCACTATGATACTTAGAGAAAATACTTTACTTACATTATTTAAAATATTAATTTCCCTATTTAATATTTATTTATTATTTTTTGTGCTTTATATTCCCTATGGCATGTACTGAACTATTTTATAGACTCTACCGAGCTATCTCCACATATAAACATTTGACAATAACACATATATACTCTCTTCATATTCTAGTCTCATGACATATTATTGCAAAAGCTATATTTATACAGCATACCTCATAAAGTCTCATTATATCCCTATCTAAGCGTTCAAAACCTATTTTCCCCACGTAATCTGATTCTTCAGGCTCCGCTGATTCGATTTCTGCTGTCAGATCGTGAAAATATGAATCACATAACAAGATAAACACAAATCCAAAATAATAATGTTTTCTTCAAATTGACTCTTCCACGATATTCATATATTTGTTATTAATTCCGTTTTCCCTTACAAATGTATTTAATTTTCTGAATAATACGTATTATAAAATGAATATCTCAAAAACTAAATTAAAAAATTAATACTGGGTAATAACTAGATATATTGTGACTTTTTGAATTCACACACTTTTGGAAAAAATTGAATTTTTCTAAAATGATGTTGTTTGAACATGAACTTAAAGAGTTTTTTTACGTAAAATATCAAGTTGGGTAACTTGTGTTTATCTTGTTATGTGATTCATATTTTCACGATCTGACAGCAGAAATCGAATCAGCGGAGCCTGAAGAATCAGATTACGTGGGGAAAATAGGTTTTGAACGCTTAGATAGGGATATAATGAGACTTTATGAGGTATGCTGTATAAATATAGCTTTTGCAATAATATGTCATGAGACTAGAATATGAAGAGAGTATATATGTGTTATTGTCAAATGTTTATATGTGGAGATAGCTCGGTAGAGTCTATAAAATAGTTCAGTACATGCCATAGGGAATATAAAGCACAAAAAATAATAAATAAATATTAAATAGGGAAATTAATATTTTAAATAATGTAAGTAAAGTATTTTCTCTAAGTATCATAGTGGATGACAAACAAGAGTGCACAATGCACTCTTGTCGGTCAAAGTTTTGCAATCGTATTCTGATTGCAATAAATTGTCTCGTTCTGGGAGACATGCACAGGCAATGTCTCCCGGAATGACACATGCAGACCAACAAGAGTGCACAATGCACTCTTGTCGGTCAAAGTTCCGCATTCAAGTTATGAATGCGGAACAGTATGCCATTCTGGGAGACATGCACAGGCAATGTCTCCCGGAATGACACATGCAGACCAACAAGAGTGCACAATGCACTCTTGTCGGTCAAAGTTCCGCATTCAAGTTATGAATGCGGAACAGTATGCCATTCTGGGAGACATGCACAGGCAATGTCTCCCGGAATGACACATGCAGACCAACAAGAGTGAACAATCCGCTTTCTCCTTTGAAATCCAACATTCTAATCACATCTACATTAATAAATTGTTATAAAATACTAATCAAAGATCCAATACAATTCTACTATCTTATTCACACATTACCAATGTTAACACCTCTTATAACTTAAATTATTTCATAAAATTTGTTTTTATATCTTATTATTTTCTCATAATGCTTCTAATACATCTCTAATTTCTTACATTCAAACACCAATATCGTCATACTATCATAAGCACTTAATTTTTTCAAAATTTTAGACTTAAATTTGAGCTACATTTTCATCATCATTTTTAGCCTTAAGCTTCTATAAGGTTATAATACATTATCGTAATATTCTAATATTTATGATTCTTACTACTCAATTCAATATAATCATATAAGTCACTCATAATCAGGAGCATAATTTAAAAATCTATAGCTCATATTTTGACAATTATATATATAGATGATGCATATTGCAATTCCGGTTTCAACACGATCAAATGTCAAACCATGATAAAATATATATCAATTTACAAAATATCGATTAACATTAGAATCCATATCTAATTCCATCAATGCACAAGTTGTAAATGCTTAATTCATCTTTGAGAAACGTGAATAGCACAATTTTATAAGATTATTTGTTGAATATTTAAAATATAAGCCAAATCGAATCTGCTGTATATTACTTTAGTTTATAATTGAATGTTAAATGTTCAGATAAATATTTGAGTCAGATATCGCATTTTCTAATTTCAAAATTTATCTCATGAAGTTAGAATTTATTTGATCATACAACATCATATTAGTCAAACTAGAGTTCAATCGCGATTCCAAAATGGAACAATTGCTTGTTTTATCAAAATGTTAAAATATTAATCTAAAAAACTTAATATCTAACCAAAACATTCTAGAAATATCATATACAGGTATATGCAATCTAAATGCACACGAAATACTGAAAATTAAAAAGAATATTTATGAGATTATTAAATCTTATGCATTTCAATGAAGAGTCGATAATTATCATCTCTATAGGTTATATATCAACATATGAGTTTTTGGATTGACCACTACTATACTAATGTGATCAAATTAATCTGATTTCTTGAATTTTCATTTGAAGCATTCGCAGTAGTAGGAGTACCTTCATATATTAACATATTAAAAAATTGCGCCCAGATTCGCAGTTTAATCATGATTTTAAGATTGCATTAGATTTCGAAATGCAGAAAAAAATCACTTTAGATTCCCTTCAAACTCTAAGCATAAGCATGTCTCTATATGAAGAAACTATTTGAGCTATTCATTTGGCGGCCCAAAAACTCATGTTGCCTGAGCGCAGAAAATACCAATTTTTGGACCCTGGGTAGGGGGTCATGCATGTTTTCTAAATGTTGGAAAAGTAGGGTATTTTTGAAATTTAAACTTTTCCGACGTTTTGTCAGGGGCGCGAAGCGACCCAAAAATGTCGGAAAAGTGTAATTCTCAGGTATATGATTATTTTTGCTTTTAATGCTGAACAGCATTTGAATCAAAAATAATCGTATGTCTGAGAATTTTTATTTTATCGATAAAATATCGAAATTGGGAAATACAATAGCATCGAATTTTCAAATTTCAGGTCTCAGTAAGATCCAGTTTTAAGGAAACGGATACTTTAAAAAATTTAAATTTATTTATAGGAAAACTCATCATGAGAATATGATTTAATTCATAGTTTTTAAATTGCAGCACTCTCAAATTGAGAAGCTAAACGCTCATTTAACAACTGAATAATATAGCTTAAATGGCACATGGTCAAGTGATAGATAAAAATATAAAGAAAGAATTCCAAAATTTCCTATTTAATATATTCAAATAAAAAAAATAGATAAAAAAATTATATTAACACAATCTATTTCTTGACACTCTTAGTTGATTGTTGAGACTTTTCTTCCTTCTGGTTCTCTATATCAGGTTTCTGATCAGATTTCTTTCCTGGTTCTACAACAGCTATATCAGAATCCTCTTCTTCCTGGTTCTTCTGTTCTTCGTCTTCCTTCAAATCATCTTTCTGGTCTTCATTTCCAATCAATTTCTGTTCATCATCCAATTTCGGATGTTCTCTCTTGTACTGGATTATCTCCACAACTAAGAGATAAATCGTTATACCCAAGAAAGCAGCCAAGAAGATAACCAATGCAACGTTATTGGCGAAATCCTTTGCAAGGACGTATTCGACAATAATCAAAACAAAAGAAACAACCAGCAAAACAAATTCAGTAATAATCCAACCCAAATTTGTTTGTTCATCATGTAATTTACCGAAATACAAAGGGGCGAATGCCAAAACAGGAACAATCAAACAACCCAAAACACCTAAAATGATTGGAGCTGTTCCTTGATTTCTAAATGCCACGTACATGGACATGAAAATCAAAACTAATGTGATCAATCCTTGTACCCAATAAACCCATTTAATCTTTCCTGGAGTGAACAATCTGTATCTTGGATTCTCACGCTCGTAATCAGTGATTTGTGCAGGAGTTTCTGATTTAGTTTCCGGAGTGTATCTAATCAAAACTGCGCTGACAACATCTTTGTAACAATTTGTTTGTCCTGGTTCTAAACTCTTGAAAATCGCAATGAAATTGAAGAAGTTTTCAAGACCAACACTTCTACTTGTCTTGTACATTGCGTTTATCAATTCTTCGCGTTTAGAACTAACAAACATTGCATCGAAATCGGATTGTTCGGGAACAATCATTAACTCTCTGATTTTGTCAAGAACTGTTTGAACATTCTTCAATTTAATGAAATTATGGTTCATTACATTGATGAAAACAGTCCAAATCGTTGTAACTTGCAAATTCTCTGTTGGTCTATCGAAATAAGACTCAAAGATCTGAGATAACAACTGGTTCTTGTTCGCATCAGAGAATTCTCCGTAGAACATAGGCCTGTGCAATGGCTGAGTGACTTGAGCAAAGAAATTCTCAATTTTTGAATCGAAACCGAGGAAATACTGGAAGAAAGCCAATCTCAAGATATCATGCTGCGCAATTTGTGAGCTCATTCTGTTGAAGATAATCATGAGATCGTCGTATTTCTCGTGAGTAAAAATGGAGTTCTTCGTTGCTACAGGATTTAGTTCTAATGCTGCTTGAAGGAAAACTAACAAAACATCGACGTGATTGTAAATTTGTCTCCAACCGAGTTCCTTTGAGAAAATATCAATAAGAACATTGATGAATCCTTTGTTGTCGCGTGTTATAGAGTACTGAACAGCGTCAACGAAAAATTCATCAGGAGATAATTTAATAATCAAAGATGTCGATGCATCTTGATAGTTTTTGAGGGCTAGACGATCCAAAATGTCCTGTTCGATCTGTTTCTTGAACGTTGAGGCCAATCTTTGGATAATTTGGATCTTATCTGATTCGGAAACCTTTCTGGAGAAGACTTCTCTGCTGTACATGTCCCTTGCGAGGTTAAATATCTTCGGTTCAAGTGGTAACTCTCTTTGCAACAAAATTAAACAGATCTGGAAAACGAAATCGCGAGCAACTTGGGCTTTGATCTCTTTCTCGCTTCGTAAGATGAATCCCCAGCATGCTTTCATGAGTTTGTCGTTCTTTCTCATCAATGGAATGCAGATATCCGAATTTTTGACAAGGAAATTAAAGAATTCGGAATGATCCTGGTCGGCGAATGGATCTTCTGCAAGGATTATTGATACTTGGTATGTTTGCTCTGGTGTAAGTTTGAGAGTTTCAGTTGTTAAGTAAGGAACAATTAATGTAACGTAGAAAGGAGCTCTCATTGATTGGGGAAGAAGGAGAAGAAGGGATGGAGTCTTTAGGAATGGAATGTAGAACTCCGTGTAGAGGTTTTTGTGGTTACTCAGCTCATTTGGAGATAATCTTTCCGAAACTGCCTGGAAAAGAGAGATCTGTGTGGAGAAAGAGAGGTGGTTGAACTCAAGGAACTCACAGGGAACTGTTGTAGAGATGAATTTGACGAAATCAATGAGAGGAGTGACATTTCTCTCAGATACGTTCAATTTGCGCTTGAGATACTCTTCGAACATGGCCTGGCAGACATCTTTCTTCTTTGTATCTGTGAATGGGATGATTTTATGGAGGATTACGTCGAGAATTTCGTCATTTGACAAAATGAACTGGCGAAGACGGTCGTCGACGATGTAGTTATCGAAGTTAATTGTAAAGATTCGCTTGAAGTTGCGGGCTGTTGGATGGTCTGAGTCAAATTGAAGGAGGAAGAAAGATGGAGGTAATTGAACGAAGAATTCAACGATTTTAGAGACTTCTTCGTCGATTAAAAGATTATCAAGTAATTTCTCGTTGATATCATTGATGATTTTCATCTTTTCCATTGGAATTGTGGAGAATAATTCCTTATTTCTCAATGAAATCTCATTATTATCATCGGATTGAGATCTGTGGGATACAATGAACTTGATAAGAAGCTGAGAGGACTCTGTAAACTTGGTCCACTTCTTATTTGTGAATAAAGCGTCGAAATTAGTAATAAAGAACTCCTTAAACTTGGAGGAAATCTCTGGATCTGTATCAAGAATGTTTACAAACATCTCATCTCCTGTAAGAACGACAAAATCGACAAATGTTTCAATTGATGACTTTCCGACGTAGATTTGCTCGAAGAACTGTGTAAGGAATGGAACATAAATTGGCCTGAGAACTTTCATCTGTTCTGGCTTCAATTGGTCCATTACATCTGTAATAATATAGTTAATAAGCTCTGGAGTTTTTTCTATGAATTCAAACCAGCGGCGATCAGAAAAGAAGTCATCGAAGAAGTTAATGATGTACTCCTTGAAGATTTGCATGGTTTCTTGAGATCCACGGAATTGAGCTTGAAGAAATTCATCTGGGAACTTGAGTTCCTTATTCTTGCCAAGTTCTGGGATGAGGTAGTTGATTGTTTGGTATCTGTTGAATTCTAAAATTAAAATCCAGTATTCGACTGTTGATTTCGAGTAAATCGCGAGCATTTGCTTGTCAGGAAGTGAATCATCAACCTGTCTTGCACCACGTGGCTTTGGCTTAGCTCCTTTGAAGAAGGCGAGCTCTTCTGTTTTTTCTAATGCGATCTTAAGTTCTTCTGTGAACTTTGGATATACTTCTGTAACTTTTGTGGCAAGATCATCGTTATATTGAATATTATTGATAATAAATATTTCGATAATGAAAAATTCTTCAGTTAATCTGTTTTTCGATCCTTTTGCAGAAGAAAGAAGTGCATTAACTTCTACAGTTGGATCTTGGCAGTATCTTTTGACAGAAATAGCGCAATAATGTAGAATAGGAATGAAATCATTTGAAGATGCAAGTTTGTTGAACTTTGTATCTGGAATATCAATAACCGAATTTAAAAGTTTTACAGCAGCATCGAGATTGCTGACGACTACGGGCTCAGAATCCGGATTAGTGCTTCTAGTACGTCTACCCATATCTGTGTATGCTGAAAAAGTGACAATCAAACGGAAACAGTTGAATTTTTCATTTTCCGTTTTTAAATAAATAAAAGTGACAAAAATAGTTTATTTTTAATTGAGCTGAAATAACATCTTAACTATCCTACTATTTTTATGATTATATTCTGAGATTCACTCAAAAATGACAACATTTCAATAATACTCGAATTTATTTTCTTTATTTAACTGACTATTTCATTAATGATTTAAATCACATTCATATGAGATTGTGAAAACAAATGGTAAATATCATTTATTAAATTTTTACACATCATATCAAAGCAAATGTATAAATTCATTCAAAACAAGCATAATTTATGGTGAATACTGCCAAAATTACGCATAGTGAATATAGTAAATACATATATAATAAAACAATATTGATGAGAATGATGCAATATACGTAATTAAGTCATTTTCATGGATTTTCTCTCTTAGTAGATCTAGTATTAGGTATGTGTATATGAAAAAGTATCTGAATTCTTGTGCTTGATGAGGAAATGAAAAAATCGTTACAGACAGTTATTGTAAATAGGAAAAAGTGACGCACGCTCATAATGTCTGTTCCATCATCTGAGCAACTTGCTAAGTACAAACAATCATTCGAAGAGTTCGATAATGACAAGGATGGCTTTATTGAGACATCTATGGTCGAGCGCGCTCTTCGCTCCATCGGTCTTAATCCAACAGCAGACGAAATGAACGATATTATGTCTGATATTTCAAATTCTAACAAGCTTTCTCTTAACGGATATCTTTATATAGCACATCACGTTGGCTGCTACGCAAATACCGAGAAACAACTTATCAAAGCTTTCACACTATTCGATCGCGACGGTACAGGTAAAGTTCACAAGGATGTTGTAAAAGATATCTTAGGAAAGATTCGTAGACCACTTACAGAAGGTCAATTAGATCAACTCTTCCAGAACTTGAAGATTGATAATGGTTTTGTTGACATCAAGCAGCTCGCTAAAGCCCTTTTATCCCAATAAACGCCGTATTACTTTGATATTAAAAAGATCTTTTTTGAAAATTTCATTACAATCTTTTTACAATCAGAAATCAAACAATTAACTCACTAATTATCTATAAAAATTAAATACGTCCTTAATTTTGGTTCCTTTTTAAGATAATTGGGATAACGATAGAAAAAATTTTATACATCATGTGAATGAATATATTGATATAAGTTTTTGTAATAGTTAGTTACAAACTTATTAATTTTATATGAAAAAATGATGTTTACTCTATATAATTCAAGAATATCATCTCATATTCATACTGAAAGTATTGATATGTTTAAATAACTTTACATGTTAATAAAAATATTGAGATCGAAATTACAATGATTTATCAGTATGTATAAAAAACATGTTTAGATATTTCCTTAATGCTTATGACGCTTTTCTTTCTTAGCTGATGGCATAGCAGCATCGAGACCTGCTTCATCAGCAAATGCCTTAACTCTCTTGTCAAAGTTCTTGCGCTTGACTTCAGAAATAATATCTGCTGTTTCTGAGAAGAATGCTTCAAGATCTGAGCGTTTGCTATATCCTGATTTAGCTGGCGTTTCTGGGAATTCTGTTCTCATTGTAGCAATTGATTCTTCCATTTTGAATCTCTTAAGATAAGCAAGAGTAACGCAAATTGCTTGACGCCATGCTTCTTCCTTAATGTCAACATGAACATTTGGTTGTAAGCGATCTACGACTGAATCTTCGGATTGAACTACTCTATTTGCAACTTTGCGAATATATTCTGCATAAAGATAATTAATGCCACCAGATGACTGTACTGCCTTGGCTGTTTCTTGATTCAGTTTTTCCTGCTTGTTTTCCTCAGCGACTGATGACATTTTTAGATTTTTAAACCGTCGTCGTTTTTCTTTTTTTTTACAAAGTGGAACGATAAAAGTGGAAATCAAAAAGCAAAATCTTTGAAATATTAGGAACCATTTCACTGTATTTCAATATATTGGCATGCTACTCTTCTCCAATTGCTAAATATATCCACAAAATATTTGATATTTAATCAAAATTTATTTCAAATTATATTTAAAATCGATGTCTTACATGTAACTGATATCTACTAGGTCAACATAGTTAGTATTTTAGCATTTAGGAGATGGTTTTACAAAAAAAATTATCGAAATAAAAAAACATAAAAACTAATAAATCTATTTTAAATATTTGATAGATCTATAAAATAAAAAGATAGGATAGTGTGATTATTTTCCAGAAAACTGGTGAATTGCATCAAGAACTGATTCATAAGTAGAAATAAGGAGAGAAACAATGCCGAAGATGCAAAGGAAGATACAGAGGATGTTAGTCCAGTGAGAAACCCTTCTTCCGCTTGCTCTTATCCAAATAAGAGATGGGAATACGAAATTGGACAAGCAGCCGCCAATGGCGCCACCAATAGCAAGTGCAGGACGGATATTTGGAAGGAACATAGCAATCAGAACTGGTATAACGTTCAAGATAAATAATATCAAAATTCTTCTCCATCCGTTTAGCTCCAAAGCGGAGTTAACACCGAATATAGCACGTGCATAACTTGATCCGACTGTCAGAGACACGACAGGATATGATGCATTAACGACAATGAAAAATGCAGCGCGAACAATGATTGTTAATACATCATTTGGTGGGAATGACTCGAGAAGAACCGGTTTGACTGTTGTTCCGAATATCAAGTATCCAATGACACCTGGAATTGATGAACAAAGGAAACTAAGGAAAAACGTGACACCGACAGTTACAGATCTGAGATTCAATCTTGGCTCAGAGGGAGCAATGACTGGCATGACGACAGCAGCCAGAGCGAATGTAAGAGAGTAAATAGCGAGTGCGTTGAAAATTCCGGAGTTTATATGTGCGATTATGCAAGTTTCATGAATACCTTGCTTTGGAAGCATCTGTATGCCTTTGATGATGACAACAAAGACAAATGTGAAGAGACAGACGATGGAAAATGTGCTGAAATATGATAAAAAGTGCATATTCTTTGGAACTGTTAACGCAACTGGTAAAACTAGTGCGTAACCAAGTAAAATGAATCTGTAGCGCCATGATCCATCTTCTATCTTCCAATTTGAGTAGTTAATCCATGATTGTACTGTGCCTCCTGAGATGATTAAGAATACAACTAAAGCCGATAAGCAAAAGAATGTTGCGGCGATTGAATAAATAGTACTTCCGATTTTGCCTAATGTCATTTCTGTTAATTGTTCGAATGATTTTGTGTGTTTTCTCAGTTGTAATGTTACGACCATTTGTGTTGCAACGTAGGACAGGATTGCAATAATAAGCATCATGGCAAACGATGGTACAAAACCAGTAAATCTGAATGAATCTGCAATTCCGAGTACTCCTGCACCCATTAAGGTGTTTAACATATTCATGACAGTGGAAAATCCACCAACATAACGCGGTGGTTTATCTGGTGTAGTCCTCGTTGTATCTGTAGCATCAAATGCTGTTATATTTGGTTCTTGAAGTAAAGGAACATTAGCATGATCATCATTCATTTTTCAAATAAGAAATTTTGCATCGTTTTTTTTGGCGGAGGTTTTTGTGATATGGAAAAATGTTCGTTGCTCAATTATCTCACTATTGGATGGACTTTTATCGAGCGAAATTTTGGCTGTAAAGACAATTCTGATATTGGTAACATGGTGATAAGAACAAATAGTCAGTTTGCATGGTTAAAAAAAAAAAAAAAAAAAAAAAGGTAGTGGGGCTTCCAGGGGCTGCGCCCCTTCTAGCCCCTAAGAAATTTTGCCCAAGACCCAAGAGGAGGACCGAACCCCAGCCGACCAGCCGTTGACTTTTTTGTAGAGCACTCAAAATAGTATAACTTTGTCCGGACAAGTAAGGGTCTATCGTCGCTACAGGAAAAGTTACAGGCGTTCCAAGGAAGTATACTTTGAGAAGACTTTCCCCCTTATAGAATGAGATAGGATGGTTATTTTACAAAACTGACAACACTTTGACCGAGTAGTTTTTTGTGCTGAACAAAAAGTGTCATATAAACATCTGTCAAAAACCGTTTTTTACTTCACTTAAAATGCCACGTAAGCTACGTAAGAATATACGTAAGAGGAAGGGAGCATTGAAACATCCAATAGTAAAACTAACACCACAACAACAGTTGCAACAACAAATGATGAATGACCCCACTATGCTGCAACAAATGTCAAGCAACCCTATGCTTTTAAACCGAGTTATTGGTGCACAGAGTGGAGGTTTAAGAGCGGCACTTTTAGCGAAAATGGCAGGCTATGGTGGAGCTGCAGACGGAACAGCTTATAACCCTCAAAGTCAAATGAATTTGAGTTCACTCAAAAATCAAATAACAGATGTCAAAAAGTCAAACATAGACATACAGAAACAAATAAGTGAAAACGAAAAGAAACTAGAATATGACAGACACACAAAGAAACTAAATGAGTTAAACGTAGAGAAAAAGAAGAAAGAAGAACAACTGAAAGAACTAAGTACAGAGGAATATGCAAAAAAAGTGTCAGAAAAAGCAGCAGAAGTAGCAAAAATGGAACAAGATGTTATAAATTTGAAAAACCATACTACTCAATATAAAGTACTGAAAGATGAAGAGATAAAACAAAAAGCCCTGAAGACATATATGGATAGCGATGAGTATAAAAAAGAAGTTGAAGCAAATGTAAAGGCAGAAAAACTTTTACAGTTGCAAAACCAAACCGTACAGTATGAAAACTTAGCACAAGAAAGTAAAAATAACGACGCAGCCATGCAAAAGGCAATGAAAAGCGCAGAATATATAAAAGCTAATAATGACTGGTTAGATGCCCAAGCCAACGCTAAAGCAGCCCAACTTATAGGGTCAATAAGGACAAAAATACAAGCGGATGAAGACAGTTCAAATGAAGCTTTAATGAATGCTGACTTTAAGAACGCCTTCGAAGCTCTTCATAGTAAGGTGAAACTAGTGAACGACTTCTCATCTGGAAAGAAACTGAAGTCTGAAGGTTTCGACAACGAGTTAAGAGAAGTAGCACAAAATATGACGAAAATAACAGATGCAGCAACGAGACAGGCAGTTCAAAGTGCCTATGACGCCGTTAGAGCAACTGTTGTGGAAAGTCAAGAAAAAGAGTTACAACAGACCAAAACAGACCTAGTAAATGCTTTCTTAAGAACGAAAAGTCAGGTAGGACATTATGCTGCAGATGGAACATATGTGCCAGCTAGTGGAACTTATATACCACCAAACCCTCCAAGAGAAGCACCTGCACCAGGACTACCTAAAACATTTACATCGTCACATGGACACAGACACAGGCATGCACCAAAACCAACACAACAACCAACACAACAACCAACAGTTCAAAACACTGCACCACAACCAACAGTTCAAAACACTGCACCACAACCAACAGTTCAAAATCCAGCACCACAACCAACAGTTCAAAATCCAGCACCACAACCAACAGTTCAAAATCCAGCACCACAACCAACAGTTCAAAATCCAGCACCACAACCACAAACAGAGCAAGGACATAAAAGAAGTAGAGAACAAGGAAACCAAGAATTCTTAAAAATGCTTAAGGAAAATTATGGTTACCCAGATACTCTTGACTTTAGTGACAGATATAAAGAAGCTATTAGAAAGTTCAAGGAAGGAAATACTGACCCGAACCTATTTAGCTTTATGGTTCAGCACCAAATGGGATATAATTTCAAACCTGGAAAATACAAGCTCGCTAAGGGATATGATTTAATAGCATATCATCCAAATGACATGGATGAATTTACTCCGAGATATTTGGTGTCAGAGATAAATGATAATTCAACTATCTTCATGAAACGCGTAAAAAATAGAGACGGAACGAAAGAAGAAAGGGTTATGAATGCGGATGACTTAAATAGGGAACTTGTTAAAAACGGTCTCGGAATATATGAAATGCCAGCAGATGAGGTACAAGAAACTCCACAGGAAGAAGTTCAGATACAACCAGACATGGAAGAAATAGTTCAGCAACAACAGCTAGAAGAGCCTGAAGGAAACGAACAAGTCCCTCCTTTGGAAACTAACTTCACAGAACTAGATGAAGATTTGGAACAGCCGAAAAATCTTGACCCTCAACAAGAGTATGCGGAGAATATGGAATCTTTCCAAGAGTCTAAGAAAAATTCGGCTGACATAGTAGAAGAATATCGAAAAATGTTCGCCGACATACAAAAGACTCCAACATCAGATGAAAATATTCAGCATAGAATGGAAGAACTGAAAGAAAGTGTACGCAAATACAATAACCCTTTTTACTTACGACCATATAACGTTCAATCTTTGGCTGAACTCGGTGAAAATAAAAGGTTAAATTTCAACAAAACATATAGAAATGAAACATTGTTTAAAGTTCATTCAGAACCTAACCAATATGGAAACAAACCTACTTTTGTTTCTGCAGACTATGGAACTACAATGAGATGGGGTCATAAAGCTAATCCGGATAGGTGGTTCATAAACTTACAACCACAATTCCAAGAAGTTGTAGACGCAATGGAAGTGAATGGTGAACCAGATATAGCTGGTATTTTCAGCGCGGCTTTAATGCCATTGAAAGATATGAAACATGCAGATATTTTGGACCAGTATGAAATGAACATGGCTGATGGAAATATAACACCTGACGTTCTAGAACATTTATCTCAAAGAACTACACAGAACCATAGAGATGGTATATTTGGTGAAGAGTTTAGAAAGAAAGTTAGGGAGATAGAAGGAAGAGAACCTATTGTACATGACCTTGCAAACGAAAGTTTACAAAATGTCATAAAAACTTACTTTGCAGACAATGAACTGAGAAGGGATGAATATTTAAGAAAACTCAAATGGACAGTACCAAATGAAATGTTAGTATTGAAAAACATGTTCCTTGACAAAATAAAACCAACTACAGAAATAAATGACGCAAGACTGAAACATTGGGTAAAAGCTTTCCCATTCACAAAAGATATTATTGGTAACATGGAAAGAAAACCAGAATGGCTACAAAAACATATATTTGGAAACGAGCTTATTCCATATGGACAAGCTCTGTTTGAAGAGCTTGAACCGGAAACTCAGGAAAGAGTCATGCAAACAATACGCGAAGACTCAAATACAAACTATGACAAAATCTTTCTAGGATATAGGTTACCTGAGATGGGCGACCAGAGCCCAAAGGCAAAAAGGACATGGGAAATTTACAACATACTAGGTGAACATGAGGCAAAGATGCAACAACTTGAAGCAGAGGGCAAGTTACCAAAAGCGACACCAAAGAAGAAGAGAAGAGTAGAACAAAGTGAAAGTAGTGAAGAAGTAACTTCATCTAGTGAAAGTAGTGGCAATGAAGGAAAAAGAAGAGTTAAAAACTCAGTCAGGAAGAAAGTAAAGCTTGGTCCGAGTGGGTTCTATTATGACACATAAATCCAACTATTCTATATTTTTACCCATATGAAATGTACGCCGCTCAGAATATAACGCCAACAGTTTTGGATGCCATGAACGGAAATGTTTCCGAATGGTATAACGAATGCGACAATGCCATTAGAAGGTCAGAAATAGTTCCTGGAACTTACGAATATACAACTGCTGTTTCTTATGGAAACGTAGGTGAGTTTGGAGAAGGTTCTTCAACAACAGTAGATATTGCTTGCGACAGGTTTCATATTATTTCTATTGACAACTCATTCTTATACGTGGAACAAGACATTGAAATAAAACCTTCTGCCAAGTTGTCTGACAAGAAAGGTTGCAATGGAATTTTCTATGTCGGATACCAATATGCTCCAGAAGTTTTCATGGGATATAAGATATATTCTAACTCTGACTTAGTTCAAACAGTAACATGGGCAAACTATGAATGGTTCGCTTTGAGAAACTCAGTACAACCACAAGCTAGAGAACAAACAGACCAGTATGCAAATATTGAGAAAATAAGAAGACTTGACCCTAACGTTCCAGGAGTTTATGTTAACCTTTCTGGTTCAGATGGAACTGCTGCCGCTAAAGTAAAACTGAAACTTAGAGTTCCTTTGTCATCTTTCCTCATCTTCAGGTTTTTAAGATACTTGCCAAACTGGGCAGGAAAAATTTCTATCGAACTTACTCCAAGCAAAAATAACTTAGTCATTGCACCAACACAAGACCCATTCACTATTACAGACGTAAAGGGAACAAATCAAACGTCATTCGCCGAATTTTGCAAAGACAAAGTTGACTTAGACTTTGGTTTCTCAAACTTCAACAATGAAGTAAACTATTATTTCAATGCTGCTGGAACTGCTTGGGACCCAGTTAAGTTCACATGCGAAAAATTTGAATGCAAGAGAATAGAAAGCAGACTTGCAGTCTATATGTTGGACCCAGATATTTCAAATGCTTTAGCTGCCAAATATATTGCAGTTCCACTTATGTTCCCTATACACCAAATATCTGTCAAAGACTTTGCAGGTGAAGTTGGAAACCAAAGTGCTGACCCAGGTGCAAGAACAGATATTG